CATTTTAAACTTAACAACTTTTATAATACACGCTATAAATCAGAGCGATTCACATCCTCGATAACTTCACCCTCTACGAGTGCAAAACACACGCTAGCTCGAAACCCGACAAACCGTAGCTACTGTTCGATTAACCACACATTCAATCCCGCTGGCTTTTCTCGCCAGGTTTATATACTAAAAAAGAGGCGTCTCGATCACACTTGAGCTTTCCCGATAATTCGAGAAACTCAGTCACGCATGCGCTAGCAGCGTCACGTGACTTCCGCTGTCGTGACAATACATATAGATAATGCCCTGCTTCTGATGATTGTGAATTTTGAAATAACACTAACTTATTGGTTACGAAACCCTTCCTGTTCAATAAAGGACTGTGTACGAAGGCGGGACCTCTAGTTCCTCCTTCCCATAATGTTCCTTTGTTTCCTCTCAGAGGCCAATTGTTTCCACCAAACTGAATCTGTCCTCCGTTCTAATCAAACAGATAAAGAGCTAATTTATCAATCACCTGTTCTACGTAATTCAACAGCTTTCTTAAAATATATGATACGACATTCATTCATTGCTTTATCTTTCTATTCTAATTTCATGAAGCTTCCTTTAAAGTCGATCTACTTTAAAGCTCAAAACAAATACTATAACATTCGAAGAACGACAAAGAGGGCTAATTGCACTTTAATTTAACGAGATATATATATATCGCCTCACTTCCGATCAGTGGCGCCACAAGCGACATATTTAGTACCTACAAGTAAATAAAAGGTCTTAAACATGACGTCCCAAAGATTTCTGTTTCAGTCAACGTCGCCATATCAGATGTCAAACATTCCCTTCTACTGACAGTCAACAACAATCAATATTAATGTAATATTAAGTAAATATTTACATACTGTCATTAATAAAAGATACGGATCCTAAGCCTTATGACTATTGTTTCCCCATTTATCTCTTTTATGCACATTGCCGAGATGATTTGCAGAATCGGACAACACGATTTTAGAAAACAGAGTTGTTATTTTTCACCCTAATAAATATAAGCGTTTGAAGTCAAATATGGTGGAGTAAACTGTAGCCCACGTGACAGTTTCACGTCTGTGCTAGACCTCTATATTTGGTTCACGGCGAATTCCCAACACATCAATGCTGTTGCTATCAAAGTTCATCCCGTCTAAATTTCCTCCCTGATTTGCTACATGCTTTATTAGAATTGTTGTATGTCTGTGTTGTTGCTTTAGAATACTGAACGTTTAGCCTCCAACACATCACACGTATGCGCATTACAGTAAAAGAGATAAGATTTTGGATAGAATTGGATTTAACAACACACCGCTACGTATAGGTTTATGACTGGAAGAATGTAAAAACCCTTACAGAGAGAAATATTCACACAGAAAGACTGCTGAACTATATGTAGGGTCCTATAATTGCATAATCATTTATTAAAATATAAAACAGAGGGCGCTATAAGAAGAGTTTAGTATAAGACAGACGTTATTAATTAGCAATCTTAAACCTAGCTGGTTTTTACAAGTAAACTGTTTTTATAATACAAGAACTCTGTTTGACCGAGTAGAAATTTTGGAATTAAAAGAAAATTATTCTTATAGATATTAAATGTTATCTATAGCTTAATTTACTGCATAAGATCCAAAATTAATCTCACTTTTTTAAAGCATTACATAATATAAGCTCATTTACTGTGGCAAGTTAAGTTGTGCTTTGAAGGATAGATAAGCAGTATTGAGATGAATATAAAACGTTTATAATTATCTAAATTTACATTTAAACCCTACTCGGAATGTACTTCATTGTTAGAACCAGTTTTCTCTTGTTTGTAGCAGTTATTCTAATTTTAAAAACATATTTGTGATCCAACAGAATTTTGACCCCTTTGTCAGCATTAGAACCTATAGTTAAGTTGCTATAGAAATCATACTTACGTCAGTGGTAAAACCTATAACCGAGTTGCTATAGAAACCATATTTCTTTAGAGCGGTAGTTATATTTCCTACTGCTTCATCTAAAGCTGAAATCATTCCTAGGATGGAAGTTTTAAGAAGTAACAAATTATCCACCATAACCGGTGTTTTACTAATTTCTTTCAATCGAAAAAAGTTGCAGAAAACATTTTCATATCTAATAATACTCCACAATAAAAACATATCTCCGAAGCCTAACTCTTAGCTTTATTATCATGAACCACGATAGTGGAATTTCACAAATATTCTAATAAAACATATGAGCAAAAACCATCTTAAAAAGCAGACTTATTCTTGAAACAACTCTCAAAACCTTCTATCTCAATGGCTAAGGCTCTTAAAATATTGATAATTGCAAAAAAAAAGTATATTTTCCAATTGTTAGACAAAGTTCAAAATTCATCCATTTGTTCTTCATATTATTATTCATATTATTCTTATTTCACAGACCTATAGCGAAAACGACTATGAATATCTACAGTGCTTATCAATTTTAGTGAAGGCAAAATAGCGATAAAATAATGTAGATACAATTTCCAGCCTAGTTTGTTTACTTTTTTTAAAGAGTCCCTAGTTGTAGACTTGAAAGTATAATCTTTACATTTTGATTCAACTTGTTTCTGTACTTTTATGACGATCCCTATTCCCCTTTTTAAATTATCAATTTTTAATTATCTTGTCATTATATAAACTTATTTATTTTCTTTGAAAATACGAATTTCATCAAGTAAGTATAACATTTTATTGGTGGACATCAAATAACGTTTTAACATATAACGGCACACGTATACAATTTTCTTAGTTCGTGAAGATATAGCTCAAAAATATTTAATGTCGATTTTAATTTCCTTTTCACTGTCATAATTATAGTAAAATATTCTCTCAAAATCTTACCACTGTATTTCCTTCTATTCACATCTTCAATATTCTTGTGCATATCTAGATATTTCTGAGGAACCTGGAGAGAAATACACAACTTTAAAGCATTTAACAATTTTTATCCAAATCTCTGAAATCACAGTCAATACTTCTCAATGCTTTAAGATCTGAAGCCCATTAGAAATGGCTCCTTGAAACTTGAAACAAATAACTTTTATTTGATGGCCTCTTCCGTAAAAACTCTTTAGAGATTTTTAATAAGGGATACTGAGAGGAGAGCAAAAACGACAACGTAAATAAATAATTTCAACACAGGTTTTCAGTAATAGCAACTTTATGTGGTGTGTTATAATGAAACTGATCAAAACCTAATGGCTTTAGTTCATTAGCTTTTGATATGCTATTTGTTTGTAATTCAGCACAAAGCTACACAATGGGCTATCTGTGCTCTGCCTACCACGGGTATCGAAACCTGGATTCTAGCGATGTAAGTCCGCAGACATACCGCTGTGCTACTGGGGGGCTTGATATGTTATATAACTAGAAGTAATTTATAAGCTGAACCTACTTAGTTTATTCCAGGCCGTAGTCTGTGAACAAGTACGCCATCTTTTTTTTAGGTTTCAGTTTTGCGTTTGTATGGGTAGTGTCTTATTTTATGTGATTTTTTTGCTTGGTTTATAACCACAAAGCAACACAATGGGTTATCTGTACGCTGCCAACCGCGGGCATCGAAACCCGACCTTTAGTGTTATAAGCCCTCAGTTGTTAGTTTCACTCTTCTTTTCTGATAGGTACAGTTTATAATTAAGTTACGTTTACTTATGTTTGGTGTATAATATTAGTTTTAAGAGCGTCTTATATGATGCTGTTATGATGATTTTGGTTTATTGTTTGTTTGTTTTTGTTTTTGAATTTCGCGCAAAGCTACACGAGGGCTATCTGCGCTAGCCGTCCCTAATTTAGCATTGTAAGACTAGAGGGAAGGCAGCTAGTCATCACCACCCAACTCCAACTCTTGGGCTACTATTTTTACCAACGGATAGTGGGATTGACCGTCACATAATAACGCCCCCACGGCTGAAAGGGCGAGCATGTTTGGTGGGACTGGGATTCGAACCCGCGACCCTCTGATTGCGAGTCGAGCGCCCTAACCACCTGGCCATGTCGGGCCTTTGGTTTATTAATAGCTGATAATGAATTTATTTGGATTGTTTCCTTTTTTTATTATAATCGGCTTTTTATTTTTAGCAGACCAGGGTCGTACCATTTGATGCCCCTGCCTTTCTGCACAAAATTCCACATCTAAATTATCCTTTGGAGTAGAGAAAATATAATGTTTCTTTATGTAGGGTTGGGTTGTGGTCTTACTATTTGTAAAAAAAAAAGTTACTTCATTAGCACCTAGGACTGAAGTACGATATATGACTATTGGTTAACCTAGTTTTAAAATTCACATTACTTTTGAGGTTTGCCAAAAATAGATCGATTGCTGGAACCATTAAACAGCGGTATGACAAACTTATCCAAACTCTACCTAGATATGCAATAAAACTACATTTGAACTTTTCTAAAATCTAACTACAAATACATTTCGTGAACGAATGTCAACGATTGAAAATATTTTCCCGATTTTGAATTTTAAAGTTTTAATTAGTACCACAGTTTTTTATTCTAGGCAATACCAAAAAACTCCAAATAAACTGCAGAATTTTAAAATTAGACAAAAAAAAATTGGTTGTGCAAATATTTAACAAGACAATCCATAGATTGCTTAGCCAGAGTATTCATGATGAATACGGCAACTGCGTCCATTCAACTAAGTTTCAATCCATGGAATTATTTAACTTATTGGAAAATCCAGCAGAATGTACAGATTTTAATTTCTTTTTCTTTTTCATTTCAAACAATTCGTCAAAACACAAAACTTGTACAATGTGGAGAAGAACAACTAGTTAAGTTGTACAATCTAAGGCAGCAGAATAACCTTATGATATTATATTTAATTATTCAAAGCATATTCTGAATGATGCTGAAAAAAATTTTAGCTCATGGTTTAGAATTTAGTATTCCGAATATACTAGGATTTGAATATTAATTTGTGTAGTTTGTACAATTTTTCTAATCTTTGTCGCATTTAGTCTTGATAATTATAACGTAGGCTTTCAGTAATGATAACTTAATGTCCTGTGTTATAGTATAATTGTTAATATTCTAACTGACTTACGGACAACTCAGTGGTTTTGATTTGATTCATTAGTTTTGGTAGATCGCTTCCCGCATGAGGGAAATTACAATTATGGGCTCCATCCTGGGGTGGGCACAGTACAGATACCTCATTATACAGCTTATTGCTTAACAAAAAACAAGCAATCCTCGAAATGATCCGGAATGGTTTATTAGTTTCGCTGAACAGCTTCCTCTAACTGCTCCGGTATTGATTTATTAGTTTCGCTAGACTCTTCCTCTACCTGCTCCGGTATTGATTTATAAGTTTAGCTAGACCCTTCCTCTACCTGCTCCGGTATTGATATATTAGTTTCGCTAGACCCTTCCTCTACCTGCTCCGGTATTGATTTATTAGTTTCGCTAGACCCTTCCTCTACCTGCTCCGGTATTGATTTATTAGTTTCGCTAGACCCTTCCTCTACCTGCTCCGGTATTGATTTATTAGTTTCGCTAAACAGCTTCCTCTACCTGCTCCGGTATTGATTTATTAGTTTCGCTAAACAGCTTCCTCTACCTGCTCCGGTATTGATTTATAAGTTTCGCTAGACCCTTCCTCTACCTGCTCCGGTATTGATTTATAAGTTTCGCTAGACAATTCCTCTAACTGCTCCGGTATTTATTTATAAGTTTCGCTAGACCCTTCCTCTAACTGCTCCGGTATTTATTTATAAGTTTCGCTAGACCCTTCCTCTAACTGCTCCGGTATTTATATGTCAATTTTACTAGGTTACTGCTTCTAACTGCTCTGGTAATGATTCCTGTATAAGAAATTGATATTTTATGCATACGTGAAACGAATACTAACGCTAAAATACACAGAACTGAAGTAGCAGTTAATATCTTTATTAATACAAAAATTAGATTGTTTAACTCTCTTCTTGGTGTAAGCATGCATACGTGAAGTAGCAGTTAATATTTTATGCATATAGAAAACGAATAATAACGTTAAAATACACACACAGTTGGGTAATTCGTTATACTTATCGTTTCCTAGGTTACAAGCTGACAATGTTTATGTACAAATATATATGAACTTATTAAACTCACCTCTAGCGGGGAATGTACGGCTTGAAACGGGAGATAAAGAAATGTTGGGATTCTGGGATTTAGTCTCGAAATCAGCTTTGTCGTGACAGTAGAGAACAGGTTCTGAAACATTCAACAAAGAGTACAAGTCCTTCTGTGTTATCGGTAGTACAAGTCTTTCTGTGTTATCGGTAGGTCAGTTTATTTACATGAAAAGACTTCTAAACACACGGACTGATGAACAAAACTCTAATTGGGGAAGTAAACAAAGCACTTAAAGGTACTTACAGTGGAGTAAACGCCGCCATATTCTGTGGCTGGTTTGGTGTTATTACGAAGATCCAGGTAATTCTGCCCATCATAACCTGATTATACAAATAACATTAAAATATATTATTATTCTGGATAATCGGAACTCATAACTTTATACATTAATTAACTCGAATAATTCAGCGATTCGAAATAATCGGAATATAATGACTGGATTATGCGGGTTATGCTCTACTATAATTCATGAAATCAAATAACTGTTTTCTAATTCTAAGCACAAACACAATAAAAAAAATTCTTGAAAAGTTGGGATTTAGGACAATTTGTAATACTTTTAACGTCATACATAAGATTTTAAATATTTAGATTGCCTTCGTTATGCACATCTAAAATTTCAAAAATGTGTCTAAAATAATATTATGCTAAACCCAAGACTTAACAACTACAAAACAATTTCTTAATGGTAAGAGAAGTAGGATCACTTTTTATACTCTAGGGGGCCACCTGTCCTACTTATTTAAATGCGTAAAGTAATTTATTTGTTTTATTCATAAATACATTAAGCATACCACTTCTGTGGGTATAGTATTCTTCAGCACCCAAGTAGAAACCGAAAAAAGAATCGAACCCTCGAAATGTTGGGGTATATGACCAGTTGCAATATCCTAAGTGCCATCTTCTCGATAAAAAAGAAAGTCATTTGTTGTAAAAATGTATCTTAGAAATTGCATCTAACAATAACAAAACTATAAAAAAATTGTCAGAGTATTGGAAACAGCATATATCGCAACAAAATATTATAAACATTGCAACGATTAAATTATTTGAACAAATGTTAAATAAATCGTTTAAATGAAAATATTATTAGCGATTTTTTGCTGTGAATAGTTTTCTCATCTGAAAGTTATACGAAATTACTTTCGTTATCAGGATAAGTGGTGTATTAGAGTATCATGACTTCTAGAATAAAAGAAAGTTCAATTAATATTCAAAGAGTTCTTCATTAATTTGTCGACGAATAGACGAACAATGAACTATTGTTTATTACAGTCACATAATAATAAGTATGGAATTATTGAAAAATTGTTTCAACGATCAACAAAGACACAAATCAGGACTCTTTAATTCACAATTACAGTTCCACAGGAAGGCACAAACTAGGAGTCATTTAATAATTGTTCCAATTTCATAGGAAGACACAAACTAGGAGTCATTTAATTATTGTTTCAGTTCCAAAGGAAGACACAAACTAGAAGTCATTTAATGCACAGAGAGACAGACTAGGAGTCATTTAGTCATTGCTTCAGTTGCACAATCTGACATATACACATACACTGGTAACTAACAAAACATTTGTTGCGTCAGCGAGGTCACATAGACTAGTGTGACGCCACGTTTCTAGAACTATC